TCATGATAAAACAAAGTTACTTTGATAATAGTGAAACACGTTTTTCTAACAATACAGTTGTTAAAGGTAAAAAACGTGAACACACACAGAAAGAAAACTTTTCTTAAGCTGTTATTTATCATATTTATCATTTGGTTTTATATGTGTTAGTGCATAATTCCATCACATAATTGGATTTGTGTTTATAGTTATGTCAGCAAACTGAGAAATCATACTTTAACAATTTTATACAAAAATATATCATTAAAATGGCATTTTTATTTTTTAATAATATAGACTACATGAAATGAATTTGGAATTCCAAGCAGTTATTTTTACCATGATGTTTCGATGAATGTTTTGAATCTTATCAAATAGAAACACTTATTTTAATCTAACATTGGAAGTTATATACGTTCAACAGAATATAGAAAACTACAAACATATCTACGTTTGTACCAGTATTATTTTAGCATCGTTGCCATAATATTTTAACGTGTGAAAGAGTTAGTCGTATTTTGTATGTTTAATGAGCTCACAATATATTTATAACTAGCTGGAGTACCCGTCCCCTGGACGTAAATTATGTAAATTCATGATTAATGAAAGGTTATCTTAGGACATGAAAAGTTGTTTCCTTTATATTTAATTGTAAAAAACGCAAAAATGGCCATAAAAACTGCAAAATACAAAACGTGAAACCGCGTGGATCCAATAAAACCTTCATGCCAAATTTGGTGAAGATCCATCAACAGGGGATGAAGTAGTGGTAAATAACACAAAAACAAAAATGCCTATAAAAACCGCAAAACGCAAAATGCAAAACTGAAAATTTGTTTTCATCTCTCCATGGACCTAATGAATTTCCATACCAAATTTGGTGAAGATCCGTCTACAGGGTGGAGGGAGTAGTAGTAAAAAAATCACAAAAACGGGCATAAAAACTGCAAAACGTAAAATGCAAAACTGAAAATTTATATGTCCCCCCTCATGGACCTAATGAACCTCCATACCAATTTTAGTGAAGATCCATCCATACCCTGCGAAGTAGTTACATGGACATACAACAGGCAACAGACAGTACTATTATATTTATATAGATTCATTATGAATATTTGAAATCGTATTTGGAGCCAACCATTTCATTCGTTTATCTAATCTCTTACCTCTTGGCGGCACTCCCTTCATGTCATATCCTGATGGACTCATCCATTCGAAGACAAAGATAAAAAATGCTGCTAATTGGATACTCACAAGTAAAATGAGCAACCACGATACGGTGTCAAAGGGCTCTGAAAGATAGACATCGTAAGACTCGAACAGAAAACAAGTAAAATAAAGAATATTGCTTACGATAGTAAAAAAAACATGTAAGGGTAAAAAACGTTTGGTAAATCAAGTTCAAATAAACTCGATGAAACCCTGGCCCATTCGACAGAAGATTTACTTATCTTCTTCAAGGATAAAGCATATACTGTCTTACATATAAATAAGTAAGTTATACAGTGTTGATGTGATGCATATACTCATCAAAACACTTGCTTTGAAAGGAAAGTGATAAAATGAAAACAATTTATAGAGTATAATTACCTTTAGGTTATTTGTTAGTAAAGTCATTCCATAATTTTTGTTCTATAAATAATGTATTTTCAAAATTTTTATAATAGAAAATTATGAACACGAATTAGTGGCTCATCTAATCGTACTCTTAAAACTTTAAATAATTTTCCCATATAATAAGGCTTGTCGAGTCTGTTTTTCATAATAACTTGCATGTTTACAGGTAGTACTAAAAGGTACACAAGAGTAATTAAAAATTCTCTGAAAGTAACTGATAAGCAGAACAGAATGTACAAATAGCATGATGAACGAAGATCGTTTCTCAAAAAAAGAGAGAAAGAACTGATACATTTTGATCATAAGAAAGTGCTAAGCCTGGGAACAGTTCATGATAACCATATTAATAATATGGACAATTCTTGATAATCAGAATATATCAGTAAGATGTACAATTCTTGATAATCAGAATATATAAGTAAGATGTACAATTCTTGATAATCAGAATATCTTTATAAGATGTGCAGTTCTCGATCATCAGAATATCTTAATAAGATGTACAGTTCTTGATAATAAGAATATCTTAATAAGATGTGCAATTCTTGATTATCAAAATATCTTAATAAGATGTACAATTCTTGATAATAAGAATATCTTAATAAGATGTACAATTCTTGATAATCAAAATATCTTAATAAGATGTACAATTCTTGATAATCAGAATATCTTAATAAGGTGAACATATATCTGGAATCAAGTTTAATATTAAATGGAAAATATCTTGGCTTCTTATAATAAATAGTTTTAGGGTTCTAATTTGTTATGGTTAGGTTTGACATGATTATTGATTGCAGGACAAAGTAGGTGTCGGTGATTAGTCTCAAACAAATGTGGGATCAATGAATCGTACTGACATTTTTTTTTCCAGTTAAAATAAAAAAAGGAGCAATTGCCCATGCTTGATAGAGTTTTTATATAACCTAGAAGCTTTTGACATATTCGAAACTATACTTTGTTTTGGCTCTTAGCAGAGCACCCGTGTTCGTCTATCATACTAAATGACACATTTTATAGATAGTTTCAATCGTACACGATAGTTCACTCTTTTCACTCATATCTTAACTTCTGGCACTTTCGTTTATATTCTCATTTACCAGAAAATAATAGTTATGATAATGTTCTATATCAAAAGATTTAAAACTGAGAAATCGTGAAAGAGTAGCGGAGAAAAATTATCTGTATTTGGAGGTACAGTTAAAATGAAAATAATTTATGGATAATGTTTTATGCTCAGACTTCAGTTACCTTTGTAATTGGAACGCCTATTAAATTTGACCAGAATCTGTTCTTATACTTTGACCGAACAATCAAGTAAAGCATTTAAATAGCTTTAACATATATGCTGTTATATTGCATAAAACATGATTTACATATCTTACACTTTCACATTTATACAGGAAATAACTGAATTTTGCTTTAATAGTTTCACCAAACCAACAAAATGTCGCACATATAAACTTAGCTAAAAGCATAGTTATAAAAAAAGATGAGGGAAGAGAATGAAACAAGCTAAGAGGTGAAGTTTCGGTTAGCTTAAGAACACCTCTTTATTGTCATGGTGAAAATATTCTGTAAAATTTCTTAACATGAAATTCACTGCTGTAATAACTTTGATTATTTCCTATTTAGTGTGCATATAAAAAAGATGTATAATATACTGATGTAATGTGTTTTGAATTGAAAATTGTTTCAGTAAATCAAATTGCTGTCAATACGTTCATCATAAACTCTTCTCAGAGCTCAATGGAAATTTATCTCTAATAAAATGAAGATTTAATGTTGATTTAAAGTATGCTGGTAGTTTAAGCATTTTAAATAGTACTAGCTTAAAATAGTTGCTCTCCACTATGGGGTTAAAAGACCTCTTCTCTGCTTACGGAGACCCCCAATGTACCGATAAAACTCTTCTATTATCCCTAAATACTTATGTTGCTACTTCATTGATGAAGAGGAGGGAGTACGTACCCTAAAAAAAACAAAAAACCTGAGTATATGTGCCAAGTCTGGTTCCGCTAACTTGTGAGAAGGAATGGACACATTTCTAAACATGGTGTCCCGCGGGATTCGAGGGGGAGCAGGTGCACAAAATATGATGGTATAATCGGGTTCAACGGCGACCCTGACAATCTACTTTCAGACCATCATCTGGTCTGTTTGACCTTCAGGGGGAGTTTTAGTCACACTTGGTAGAAAGCCTACGCCATATAGACAAGGTTACTCTATACCCGCCTGCCAAGTTTGGTCCTGCTAGCTCTATAACTGTGAAAGGAGTTACCTCGGCATGCATACAAAGCTACAAGCTAAATTTATATAGGATACATTGTAGATTGTTCGAGTTATTTCGCAAACAAGCATCTAGATTTTTAAGTAGCTACGTAACACATATTTTACATCAACCACACATTGTTAATTTGAAACGGATCGAATCCCAATCTAAGTAAATATATTGATCAAAGCTAGTACTGAATACAATGTGTATACCACATTACTTTCTAAAACAGCTGCTTATACAACAACTTTTTTATGTTTTTCTAACGTTTAAATTAACATTTTCGTTTGCAGTAAAATGCCCTACGAAACATTTTGCTCTTGCCAGTAGAGACAAACCATGGTGCTTAACTTAAGTACTTTTTTTCATTCGAACCATGCAACCAGATGTTCTCGTTTCTTTTTTTGTATTTGTTCACTGATTGACATTATATGGTAAAATGTGTCTTGAGTACTTTTTATTTAAAGAATTATTTTATAATTATTTTTGAGCTTTTCCAGCCTTTCCCTTTTACTTTGCCATTTAGGTAAAAAACTTAGTTATATTAATTCAGTTAGGGAGAGCCAAACCCTTACCACAACTAATCAGTGTAGATTGTAGACATATCTCTTTATGAGAAGTTTAGTTGCTATATAGGTTTAAGATCCTTAAGGTAGAATCTTCTTCCTAACTGCGGGGCTAAGTAAGATATCAGTTATATGTGAAAAATACTTATGTAGTAGAGTTTACATAATCTTAACAAAGGTTTCTCACCAAGAAATGCTTTGGGGGAAATAATTCCTGTGCGTTTGGCTACAGCAATGGTTATTCCGGTTTCTAGGAACGGCACAGTAAAGTCGACCGCCGTCTGCCGTTCCGAGTTGATCTTGATGCTAGTCACAACTACATCTGCCTTACCCAATAAAATTTCAGCTATCAGGCCGTTCCAGCTGCCATTCTAAATGTCGTAAAATAGTTTTCTAAGCGTTATCGGGATACAAGTTCCAGTTTAGCAGCAAATGGTACTAGATTTCTTTTAACTGGCTTTTTTCACTTTATAGTGAGAAAAAGTTTTCTTCGTTCATTTATAATTTAGTTTTTAGTTCTGATCTATTTACTTTTAACTTAATTTTGATCAGAAGTACTAATCTCAATTAACTAAAAAAAAAAAAGCAGTATTTCCTACACCAAGAAGTTGGCATTAACAGAAAGTGAAATATTTAAAAACAGAATGTAAAAATTATGGAACACATTAAACTTCAAGTAGATTTATCTAACTACTTTTTCTTCAAATACTTAGTTTAAGAATATGAAAATTAGAGTTTTAATTATGACCTATAATAAAAAGTTTATAAATTCCCTTCACGATTATCACCTAAAAAGACCTCACAATGCAACACTGCTTACTCGAAGCTGAACTTACACTGATTACTTACTATACGATACTGAACCTTATTCTGATTTCTTACTACACGATACTGAACCTTATTCTGATGTCTTACTATACGATACTGAACCTTGTACTAATTACTTACTACACGATACTGAACGTTGTACTAATTGCTTACTATACGATACTGAACCGTCTACTAATTACTTACTATATGATACTGAACCTTGTACTAATTACTTACTACACGATACTGAACCTTGTACTAATTACTTACTATACGATACTGAACCGTCTACTAATTACTTACTATACGATACTGAACCCTCAACTAATTACTTACTATACGATACTTAACCTTATTCTGATTACTTACTATACGATACTGAACCTTCTACTAATTACTTACTACACGATACTGAACCTTATTCTGATTACTGACTACACGATGTTGAACTTTACAGTGATTACTGTCTATAAGATACTAACCTTATACTCACTACTGACTATAAGATATTGAATCTTAAACTAATTATGGACTAAAAGATACATTACTGTCTACAGTCTTACACTGATCATTAGCTACTCGATTCTAAACTTCGCAGTTATTACTGACAACACGATACTGAACCCTATAGTTATTACTGACAACACGATACAGAACCTTATAGTTATTACTGACAACACGATACTGAACCTTATAGTTATTACTGACAACACGATACAGAACCCTATAGTTATTACTGACAACACGATACAGAACCTTATAGTTATTACTGACAACACGATACTGAACCTTATAGTTATTACTGACAACACGATACTGAACCCTATAGTTATTACTGACAACACGATACAGAACCTTATAGTTATTACTGACAACACGATACAGAACCCTATAGTTATTACTGACAACAAGATACAGAACCTTATAGTTATTACTGACAACACGATACGGAACCTTATAGTTATTATTTACAATACGACACTGAAGCTTATAACTGTTACTGACCACATTATACTGAACCTTGCAGAGATTACTAACTACAATATTTAAACTTTACCGTAACACGATACTTAACCTAACAGTGACTACTGTCTACTTAATACTTAAGCTTAAGATGAAAGTACTAAACATGGAACTAAAACAGTTTAAGAAATAAATGGTTATGAAACTAAGCGAATAATTTAATGATTGCTGGTCATGAAAATACAAGGAAAAATGCATTTTAAATTAAATGACTTATCTAAACATTTTCAAAACTTTATTATACAATAATACACAAAAATGTTTACTCACATCTAAAACACCCCAAGTCCCGTCAGTCACTCGAAACAAATCATATGTAAAACCTAGATCGGCGGCAAAGTTCTGGAGCAAGTCTATGCAGAATCCAGAACAACACTTAAAATACTTTGGGTCTTGGATCGCTTCAGACATATTAACCCTTGAAAAGGTCATATAAACAGAGATGTCAAAGCTGTTTAGAATTAACGCCATTTTTTATAAACAGATAAAATTTAAATAAATACTCTTTCTACTGCTTGGGTTGTCAAGATATGAGTTTTAAATCAACCACTATTATTCAGTTTTATCACTGCGTTGTAATTCATGATACTTGTTTTCAAAAAATGAAAACAAATTAGAGGTTCGACATACTGATTTCATTTCGTGATATATAAAATTCAAGAAACTACTTTGGAAAACAATTGTTGTGATAATAATGTTTGTTAATTTTAGCTCAAAGTTACACAATGTACTATATGCTCTCTGTCCACTGCGGGGAATGAGTCCCGGATTTTAGCGTTGTAAGTCCGTCAATTTACCACTGACTCACTAGGAGACATGATGATAATGAAAATTATTCTTCCAAAAATACATGCTTAAGCTAATATACGCAATAATACTAATTTCAGCCTTAAAAATTATTTTCCAAGTTATTTTGTCTTCAACAATTAACCTAAAAATGTTGCTTACAATACTGAGATACACTTAATGTGATAGTAACCTGCTTGCTACATTTGTTCACTCGACTGTTTCAATCGTGTGAACAGTGCAACCTTTCCTTATTATTAAGATCACACTAACATTTCAGTTGTTCACTTGACAGTTTTAAGCCTTGGAAAGATTACCTTATTTAGGCATATCTCAATAATATTCGAAGTTATTCCGATTATTCTCCATTTTTCTACTGGTAAAAAAAAAGTAAATATTTTCCATGATCTAACTTCTTATTTTTCAAAATTAGAAACATTTCAATGAATTACACATGTAGTATAGCAGCGCCCATTCGTTGACGAATATCTGGCGTTTCTTGACTTATTTTAGGTTTTGGAATGTTTAAGAAGCATAATATATCAATTTTATGATTATTAGAAAGTGAGTAATAAATAAAAACACTTCTGATTTTTATGGCATGCAGTAAAGTGAGTAAATATGTTTGTGTGTTAAGAGCAAAGCAGCACTGGGCTACTTACTGTGTCCACCGCATGAATCGAACCCCGGATTTCAGCGTTGTAAGTAAGCAAATTTACCGATGACCTATTAAGTGACGTACGTAAGTTAACATTACCATAATAAACAAACAACAGCAAAAAAAAACTATATTTATAGTACCAATAAGAATTTCTAAAATCCAGGAAACGTTCTTATGTTGTGAGTTTTTTGTTAGACAAATGAGGAAGATTAGAAGGTACTATTTGTTGAATGAGTGTTTGCTTGTTTTCCTGAACGATTCCTTATGCACACAGTGGTTCAGTCATAGCCGTCCCTAATTTTTAGCTGCGGACTAGCGGGAAGTCAACCATTCGGACGCACCCATTGTTTTAAGCGGATACTTTACCAAAAAAGCGAGATTGACTGTAACTTTATAACGCATTCTTAACTGAAAGTGCGAAGAGTGTTTGGTAATATGACATTTCGAACCTGAGACCCTCGGATCTCAGGTCCGACGGACACAAGCCTATGAAAAAAAGTGGAAAACATTTATTGATGTCAAAAAATTTTACCATGAAAATAATTTACTTGTTGTGAAAAAAAATACAAATTGTTAATACATATTTACATTTCTGGATTTTATAAAACTTGCTAATCTGTACAATGCATTTTTTTAAAAAAACAATTACTATCATTATTTTTATTATCTTAGTACTTGTTGCTTTCCTTACCCGATAAGTTCAGATTCAGAAACAACTCGACATCTGACGGATCTACTTGCTTTACATTCGCGAGTTTCATTATCCATAGGAAAAATATTCAAATATGGTGGTTCTTCCATAAATGTGATTTTTAAATTGAACTTTTCTGGTACTCCAGGTGGAGGTACCGGTGAGTCGCCTGGCCAAACGATATCTTTAATTTCCAGCTCATTCTCTGTCCAGGAACCGACCTGGTGGTAAAAAAAAATGGAAACTCGAATAGATTAATACAGCAACGTTTTTATAGTTATATAATTACAATGTAAGTATTAAACTAATACATAAAGAATCTATATATACGAGGGGTGTTCGGAAAGATTAGATATGGTGTTATCAATGTACTTGAATTTCATTCTTATTTTTAACTTTAAGTATGATATATGATTATTTGAAGTATCCGTATTAAGTCATATACCAAAATTCATTTGAGCATTTGTTTAAATGTATCACCCTCCAGGAATCGCATCTATATGCCCAGGAACGTAATTTTCAATGTTATTTATTAACTTTGCTACTATATGCGCAAAAAAACGAAGTTTGGCTATTAGACAAATATATTGTACTAGTAACAGAGCAATAATCTATGTCATTGCGAAACTATGTAATATAGGAATTCTTGCTATTATGAATGTATTTGTGTGTGTTTCAGACTATTTATAGACAACCAGATTAAAATACAAAAATGAGTTGATATTACATTCTTGCTTTTGATATTAAGTGACTGACATACCTTCATTCATGTAAACTGATTGGATATATCTTTTACGTCGAAAGTATCGATAAGTGTTAACATACCTTCTCCCATATATTTCTTCTGTTCAGGTTCAGAACTTCAAGTTGCACATGCTTCAGGGTGCCATCAGTATTAAAATGTATGTCAGATTGTCCCTGTCTCGTCTGAATGCTCACATTGCGAAGATACCTTTAAGAGGGAATAATATGCATAAATGTTGTCTAATTAGAAAGGTTTGCATTTTTGTAGTTAGGTGTTCAAGATACCCAAGGAAATGGGGACAAAAACAGAAATAATTCCAAAAAAAATGTTTGTGAAAACAAGAGTACGACGAATATGTACACGAACCACGAACGTCTGTAGCATATTTTTTGTTCGTTGAGTAATTTTGAAAAAACACAAAAACGAAAACAGTATACGTAAGTAAGCGCAGTATAACGGAGCAGGAGAAATAGTACAATCACTAACTTAATAAGGAATACTCACTAAGTGGATAGAAAATATATTTCAAAACATAAATACTAACACAAAGGTTTTTGACAAACCAGAAGAAAACCCTTCAAACAGAAATTTCAACAAAGATATTTATATTTTTTTTCCATTTAATTGCTATTTAGGTTTTGTTTATTGTTCATTTCTAGTAAATGTAAATATCGAAAAACAATAACAGATCATTTAAACAAGGTGAATGTTCTTATATCACTTGAGCAAAAACAGAAAGTTAGCAAAAATAACAAAATCAAATTATGTGGGTATAAAAAGTTGGGGGAGATAAAGTACCTCTCCTATTAAATGGGTATCATAAGTTGGGGGAGATAAAGTACTTCTCCTATTAAGTGGTTATCAAAGTTGGGGGAGATAAAGTACTTCTCCTATTAAGTGGGTATCAAAGTTGGGGAAATAAAGTACTTCTCCTATTAAGTGGGTATCAAAGTTGGGGAAATAAAATACTTCTCCTATTAAGTGGTTATCAAAAGTTGGGGAGATAAAGTACTTCTCCTATTAAGTGAGTATCAAAGTTGGGGGGAGATAAAGTACTTCTCCTATTAAGTGGTTATCAAAAGTTGGGGGGAGATAAAGTACTTCTCCTATTAAGTGGTTATCAAAAGTTGGGGGGAGATAAAGTACTTCCATTTGGTAATTTTACTCCAGGCTTACCTAAAAATATATGTGGAACTTAAAAATTTTACTGTTGAAGATGGAGTGCACTAATTGTCATATAATCGAGTCATAATATATCCTTTTTGTTCAAATTTTTCTTAGATCGCCAAATTTTAGACATATAATGTTACTTCGGATATACTTTAATAATTTACACTGGTTTTACTTAAGTTTAATATAAAACATATCCAAGATCACTCTTTAGTTCTTCACTTGGTTTATTGTGATGAGACTGATATTCCTGTTATCTACGTTGTAGGATAGCTAGTATTATGGCTATTCAAAGTGACACTTATGATTATCAAGTCAGCGTAGACTACCTAGAGAGAAGTTACATTTAGTCGACTAGTTCTTCAGGTTTAAGTTCAATAAATTTATGGGACGCGGTATAAGTTATTCAAGGAAGTCAATATACGCCATTAACCAGTTTGGGTAAAATATATAATGTCACTTGCAAACCAGGGATATAACTTGTAGAGATAATACATACATACATATTACAATACATACATAATTATTAATTTCGTGTTTCCTTGCAAATAGAATTTTCAAAGAAATGTATCCAACTCTGTATAAAAGAAGACTGAAATGTATTATGTTTATATCTTATATATTTTACCTGCTTATTATAGGTCAGATTAATAACAAAATATTTCTCTTCATTATTTACATTCTAAAATCACTATGAAACTTAATAATTGTGAACTTTACGTAAACAGTGGATGGCCATGTAATGTGATATCAGTAATGTAAAATTAAAATCAATGATGCAATATCACACCCATAACACTATACAGCATATTGCTTTACCAGTTTAGGTGTTAGAAACCATAAACCTACGTGGCTCGTAAAAGACTGCCATAAATAGCATCTGAACTGAGACTTAGTATATTGTTACACAGTTGTCAGCTCTATCGAGTGAGAGATTTCGTCGGAAGCGACATACAACAAATTAAGTGCAGCTGAAATGCTATTATATTCTCTTTTTTTAACTAGAAACTCTTATAGGATCATTAAATACTGTTAAAATAAGAATTATTACCAGTCTTACTGAGATTCAATTTCACACCTGTTGTCCATTAGATTGAACTATATTTTAACATTATTTTTAAACATTATCTAACAGCAAAAGTTGTATTCGTGGTATTCTCAGGTATATTGATATCCTAAAGATAAGTAAATGTTCTAAGAAGTTCAACAGACAATTAAGAAGGAGAATTTACAGTAGAATTTCACTATAAAGCCAAATGTTTCATTGAATAAAACAAGACAAGATTTAGATCAATACAGTTCAAAGCATGCTCTAATCTCAACACGTGTGTGAAATATATTGCCATATTTTCTTAACTAAACTAAAAAAAGAGAAAGATATATATTTTTTTTTATCAAATACCACAGACACAAGTGAGAAAAGCAGAAGTTTATAATTATACAAAGCCGTGGTGCATGCTATTACTTCCCAAGTATTAAGCCCCCCAGTGGCACAGCGGAATGTCTGCGGATTTACAGCACTAGAAACCGGGTTTGGATACCCATGGTGGGCAGACCACAGATAATCCATTGTGTAGCTTTGTGCAAACAAACAAACAAAAAACCTGAGTATTAAAATTAGCTATTTGTTAAACCAGCGTTCACAAATGCTGATTTTGATCATATACCTTAGCTGTTTGTTAAACCAGTGTTTACAAATGCTGATTTTCATAATATACCTTAGCTATTTGTTAAACCAGCGTTCACAAATGTTGATTTTGATAGAATACCTCAGCTGTTTGTTAAAACAGCGTTCACAAATGTTGATTTTGATAATATACCTTAGCTGTTTGTTAAATCAGTGTTCACAAATGCTGAGTTTGATAATATACCTTAGCTGTTTGTTAAACCAGCATTCACTAACGCTAATTTTGATAATATACCTTAGCTGTTTGTTAAACCAGCGTTCACAAATGCTGATTTTGTTAATATACATTAGCTGTTTGTTTAACCAGCGTTCACAAATGCTAATTTTGATAATATACCTTAGCTGTTTGTTAAAACAGCGTTCACAAATGCTGATTATGATAATATACCTTAGCTATTCTTCTATTGCAAAATAACCACATTTCTTAACAATAGCTCTTTGTTTACATAAAGGTTCACTGGAAATCGGAAATAACCTTACTAAATAAAGAAATGAGTTAAGTGTTATTACAGAATTGTGTGTTGAGTTCACTGTGAAATGTGCGACAACTACCCTTACTAAATAAAGAAATGAGTTAAGTGTTATTACCGAATTGTGTGTTGAGTTCACTGTGAAATGTGTGATAACTACCTTTTAGAGAAACACTTCTAAAAAATATATTGGTGACTATACAAGCTACTTATGCAGCTAAAGTGTAAAGGACAACGTTTCGAAGGTCGAATGGCGGAAGACTTTCGAATCGTCGTTCTCTACACTAGAGCTGCATAAGTAGGTTGTATAGTCACCAATATCGTTTCTACAAGCTGCCGCCCTTTTTACAGTCAACTCAATATGAATATTCTGCCTAAACTACCTATCAAAGAAACTGTGTGTTGTTGAGGTTCACATCATTGCTGTTTTACCATTAAGTGTTGTTGACTGCTAGTGTAGTAATGGACGCATCTTTTGTTAGAAGTGTGCTTTGTTTTACTTACCGCCAGCTAACTACGGTACTGACCTGAAAAACAAATCTCCGCGATTCCAACTGGTGTCCCCAGATCCATTACACTGTAGGTTGTGAGAGAGAATTTCATTATGGTTATAATGGTCGTTTACATAGAGTTCCAAGCCGTGAAAAAATATTGATACCGCTCGTTCTATTTCATCTTCCAACTTATTTGTGCTGGCATTGAAGTGGATCGCTAGATGTGGCAGTAAAAAAACATTCCAATTGAATACCAAAACCCGAAACCTGGAGCTATAACTTATGTTACATGTTATTCCTGTTGAGGGTTTGGCTCTTTTTAAAGACACATTTCTAAAAGTAATCTACATTCATTTATAAAATACAAAGTAAGACAAAATAATATTTTGTCTAACACCATTTGTTATTTTTTCTGCAGCTTTTTTATTTTCAAGAGAAAATTATGGAAAATGTTGTAAAACGCTATCCGTAATCGCAGATTCATGCTTAAACAAACTATTTACCATAGGAAACTTGATTTCAAGCTGTTAACAACAACAGAAAAGAAAATAAGTAAAGTTTCTTTTTGATACGTGTAGTTTTTAATTAATGGCATCTTATCAGAAACGTGCTAACTGAATATACATATTAATTCTGTACACAGAGTTTCATAAAGAATTGAGGAATAATCAACTTTATGATCAACTAATTATAACCGATTCTTTCAAAATAGCATAACTCCAGCTGTTTGTTGTAGATTTCGAGAACCGTAGAAATTTTCTTTCAGCATAATGTAGCCAAAATTTGTTAAAGTTGCTACTGATATAAGTTTCCAGTATTTTGGAGTGTTATACCATGTATGCCCATGTAATTTGGGAGTTTTCAATATTTTAAGGATATTATATATATGAATTATAGAGAGCACCTTAAGAATGTATTTTAATCAACATATAGTAAAACTGTATGTTGTAAGGTTGAATATTTCAAGTACATTTATTTATTCGAAGGAATGCTTTCATATTTTTTCATCATAACATCTTAAAACTGAAACCCTAAAGCTTTCATTATTTCCAGTAATTTACAACATATTTCAATTACTCGTGTTAAAAATAAAAATGTAAGTCGTAAGTTTCAAGTATTCGAAATATGCTGAAACTAGAAAAAAATAAAATCTAGAGGTGGGTGCTCTAAAAAGTGTCCTAATTGCCGATAGTACGTCTGAAGGCTTATAACACTAAAAATCGGGTTTCGATACCTGTGATGGGGACAGCGCAGATAGCTTACCAACAAACAAAACATGCAAAAGACAAACATTTGCAGTGTATAAAAATAACATTTAAAACTTTTCCTTATATGTCTTATTTCATTACCCATAAAGTCCTTTTTGAAATGCTATATCTATACAATTACAGTTTATTGTTAAAATTATATTTTGCTCTTCTAACCTAACTGGTGAGTTTCAATATTGAGCAAAAAGTTTCATGGACCATGTATTATGGGATGTAAAAGATTTGAAAAGCTATGTTAACACAATTCTGATTTGAACTCTGTAAAGTACTGACGAAGAAAAGTTTGATATTCCCAAATAAATGAGGAGATATTAGAGACTTTTGTAATTCATCAGCCAAGGTGTTCTACAGGAGCAATTTTACACATTATCTTCATATTAAACTTCGATTTCGCGAAGTTATAGTCAATTATATGGATATTCGAAATATGATAAGTAGCTTGTCATTGTTTATCTCACCAAAATTACAATGGAAATTGAAGAAATGGAAACAGTATCAAAACTTGTCCTCTCGATAGTGAAATGATCTCCAGAAAAACACATTATTTTTGTACAGTGCTTCATTACTATGAAATAAAAGTATTTCATCTGTGTTGAGAGGTTTATGTGTGTGGTGGGGGGAGGATATAATAGCTTAAATATATGCGAGTTTACTTTTTGGAAGAGGGGTGGAGGAGAGAGTTGTAGTTGACTACTTCAGTCAAGTATCAGTTCACGGTGCAAACGAGGCAGTCTTGAAATAATAGTGTTTGAACCTTTATATAAAGAAAAATCAATAACAGGTTCCGGATCTGAGATCTAGAGATATCCGGTAGGCATTAAGCATTGCTGTTAAATAAGCAACAAGTATAATAAAAAAAATCTTTATAAAGTCAAGTAAGGATCAATATATACGTAACCTAGCTAGCTATAGTAATAATGAAAATTTTAATGCTACAAAAGTATTGAAACAAGGAAGTCATAACTACAAAAAACGAGTTACTTAAAATAAAAATAAAAATATATCTACTTTGGCTCAGACTAGCATAATTACAGTGATTTGCCAAAGTAGAGATAATTTTGAAAAAATAATTAAATGTTTCAATACTTTTGTAGCATGAAAACTTTCTATATTACTATGGTTAGCTAGGTTATGTATATATCGATCCCTACTTATCTTTATGAAACTATTATTATTTTTATTATACTTGTTTGTTTTCATTTTACTAGTTATATTTTTGTGAACCAGCAGTTCCAATCGTTGGGTGCGCGTATACCAGATTTGATTTTATTACTCATCCGGATCTCTATCAACCTACCCTTAAAGTATCGCATCGCGCGTTTTACAATATATACTAGTATCCTTTTCGGTACAAGAAAGGAATCATTGGGATCCCAGATGGAAGAGTTCTTTGCAAGAATTAGAGCAATAAGATTCATCATTTTTTTCTGTACGCTTGTCTGGAAAAGTCACTTACTCAGATGAAAATCCATTTAAATAGTTAAATTTTGATTCACTCTATAACACGTATATAACGATTTAAGCAGCTTTGTAACTATAATAAGCTTTAGTTGTGCTCAGTGAACACTGTGAAATAATCTTTGTTAATATTCAGACCTTTCAAAGGTGGTTTGTTTCATAACGATCCCTACCATTAAGTAATAATGAAAGTTATTTTAATAAGCTTACTGTTTATAATTGCTGAAGATAAAAGAATGAAAAATAACACGTACAAGATAATGTTACATTTTCGAGCAGTGAGAGTAACACAATAACTGTATAAGAGTAAAAGTGCCTTACCTAACATGCCAAGTGGGAACTCGCTAGGGGCAGAGTGCACAGTTCCCGATCCGACAGATAACTGAGTGGCAATCCATATGTAGTTTTTCCCTGTGATTCCTAAATCATTGGCTGCTCCCATTATGTCAATTCCTTCCTCCTTGGTAACATAGAGAAGGATTACTCGCGTGTCACCATTTTTTAAAAGCTCTAGTTCAGTTCGTATTTCTTCCCTGGTTTTTCCTTTCAGCACGAATATGTCAAGAATATTAAATCTATGAATATTTAAAAGGAATAATTTATTTAAAGCTAATATTTGAAGTAAAAAGAAGTTATTTAAGTTAGTGATAATTTTGAGTGTCATAGAAACGCTATAACACTTAATCATTACTTGAAATATAATAATTAATTTAATATTAAATTCTTTAAACGAAGAACAATGATTAAGTTTAAAACATTTGCTTAAATTACAGATAATATGCAAATTAGAAGAAAATATTGAAACTAGTGATATTATTTGAAGGAAAAATATGTTATTTAAATTGATGACTAATTATTATCTCCTATAAAAATCAATAAGCTATACATTCTAATGTAGCTGAATATTTATAGAGATTGTCTTGAAATAATTCACCCAAATTTGGTTAAATTTTTCTTTTAAAGTCTTGATATATTACAATTCGAAAGTCTTTCATAAAGCATAGAACGCATACGCTTAAAAACTAGTTAAAAACCAAAAAGTTTGTTCCATTGCAAAAATGTATTGTGAGAATAATGTGAATAAGCCTAGTTTGGGAACATTTAGCTTAGTTGTTAAAATAAACCTAACAGAACACATTGTTAATTTTAATCAATAATCTCTACCGCATTATCTTAAGCAACATAACACTTGCTATTTACTTATATCTAACTTCGATTTTAATAAAAATAGTTTGCTAATAAAAGTGAAACGTTTTGCATATGTCATCAGCCATTAACGATGAGAAGTATATATATATATATATATATATATATATATAATTAAA